AATAAATGAAATAGCTTCAGGTCCATCAGTGTGGGGAACGATTTGAAGTCATATTCTCATGAATTGTATTAGACAAGTGGTTTTCATCCCTATAGAGCTCAACTTTTCTCTTTTATATATTAAAYGTTTGATGCTTCTTCTCAATACTGAAAACCTATAGAGAATAGAGCCTATTACATACATAATTTTTAGAAAATCATTATAATTCACCAGTTATAATTTAAAGAAGAAATAAAAGTCACATATAATAAAAATAGGCATTGATAGGAAAATGCTCAGCTTCCACTTATAATGAAAATTTGAATTTATGACAAGTGAGATTAGAATTCATTTTGTATAGGAAATGTGGGGGTGGGGGCATGGAGCAACAGAGGAATAGCTGACCTCCAGAATAGAACATAAATAACCAGAACATGGTGTAACCAAAGGAAGAGGGAAATAAGTTTCACTGAAATTAGAGAGACTTGCATAGGGAATTACATACAAAGTAGTATTATGCAAGAAGTTTCCAGATATTAGGTTCTAAATGTCAGGGAGGATGTTTTAAGGTTGTACCAGAGGAGAGGCAATTCTTCACTTTAAGAGGCTTTTAACTACCTTGGCCCCAGATTATTACTAAAAGTCTCAATCATCCCCCAATTATTATTAGAATCAAAACACTCCACAAATTCCCTGACTTCCCTTTAGTAGAGTGGAACTGCCTCTATTTATAACCACTGAAAAAGTTTAATGACACCAGCAGGTTTATGAAAACTGACCTTCTAATGGTGAAAATTCACATAGATGGGAAGGCTTGGACAAGATTTCATACAGTGAGGCTCAGAATAATTTAATCTTGGTTCATCATACAATATATTTTTTCAAACTCTGGATTTATAATAGTTACAAAACGATTTTACATATTCTCATGCACCCATGATCTAGGGTGGGGAAAAACTTCAATAAGTAAATTCAAAACAAACACACAAGTAGGAACAATGCATTTGCATGTACCTGAGAAGAATATTACAAAACTTTTAATTAAACCAGACTTTTTAGGAGAACAATTTTGCTAATTCATTCAGGTAATAAACAAACCCTTTATTCAAACATCAAACAGTTTGGATTAGAAGTCGAAAGGTAATCAAAACAAAACAACTAATAATAACCACAGAAAATGCAAAGTAGAGTTTCTACCTGGGTAACTTGATCCAGACCAGAGTGGAATTCRATTTGCAGCTCCATAATGGACAGTTTGAACTAAGTTGGGTGGTCCTCCAGTGAAAAACTGAGAATGGGATGGATAATAAACAGGCATCTTCTCTGATAGTTATGGCAATTAAAAACAAAAATAATTTTGAACTATTCAATTCTGTATGTGGCATATTGTCAAGTCTTAATAAATATTTTAAAAAACAAGAGGGTTTGGTGGATGCAGAAAAAAAGAGGGAGAGGAGAAAAGAAAGAGAGAAAATGAAAAAGAATAAAAAAAGAAGGATGAGAAGACAGTGCAAAAGAAAAACTTCAGTGACTGTGTCTAGTTTATAGCATAGAAAATTGCACACAAGTGTTATTTATAGACTTAACTAAAGTCTATTGTACACTGTCTTTGAAACCAAATAAAGACAAAACTTCCTTCAAGCTCTATCACCCATCTTACTTCAGATGATTCTTTGTCCTTAATAATAGCACTTAACTCTGGAATATTTGAAGTTATAATTGATATTATTGTGTCTCAAGTGTAATGTATTTGGCCTTTTCCAGTACAAGTGTATATGTAAAATATATCTTTCACGCTCAGTCTCATGCCAGAATGAGACATATATTCCTAAACCTTTCCCTTTCATCTTAGTAAAGCATGACCATGAATTTCAATAGACCTCAGGCTACCTATATATGTATAAATAAAGGTATGTTGGTTTAAGTATTCTGTGTGTGTGTGTGTGTGTGTGTGTGTGTGTGTTTAGGAAAAGAGAGTCAGAGAGAAGGAGAAAAATATAGGTTATTATAAAAAGAGAACTTCTAGTAAATAGTGTTTTATCTTATTAATGTTATTATCCTCAATATATTACTAACAAGTGTTTAATAAGATTGTATCTTTAATTAAAATAGCTGAGATAATTCTTTAGTAAAGGGTAAAAAATCATAATTAAATGATACTGTGCTTTTCAAAAAGAAGTTTCTTTGCAYAATAAATTTACTGGCAAAAAAAGGGCTAAAGAAAGTTAACTGGCATGTTTGGTTTATAATAAAATAGTGCCATTGTCAGAAAGAGAAATAAGTACTCTTTTTCATTTAGAATGGAAACTATAGGCAAAACGTGATGCTTATAGTTATCAGTTTCTCTTTTCATGTTTTGCCATTTTGTTTATTTATTTTTTAATGTGGTGCTGAGGATTGAACCCAGTGCTTCACACATGCTAGGCAAGCACTCTACCACTGAACCCCAGCCCCTGTTTTGCATTTTTGACACTGTTCATGTACTTAGAGTAATTACATGCTCACTGAGTTAGCATGTGGATTCCATGTCACAGTGAGACCCTAGCAAGAAAACGTTTATGTGATAGACTCCAATGATGGCACACAGTGAAATAAGAAAGATAATAGGTTTGGTGATAAAATGAAGTGAATTTAGTGGAATTATAAATCAATCTCTCTCTCTCTCTCTCTCTCTCTCTCTCTCTCTCTCTCTCTCTCTCTCTCTCCTTATCCTAGTCTTTATTTTGTATCACCAAACAAGTGACAGGGTGGACATAATGTTCTTTTGCATGTCTCTGAATTTAGGCAGGAAAATTCTTGATTTTTAAAATACTATGGATTTCAAGTGACTGTAGACTAAAAATCCCAAGAGCTACTTTGAAGTTTGTAAGTGGAATTCTGTCAACTTACTTTATGAGAGTCCTGAATCTCTAAAATTAAGTATATAAAATTTCTGTGGTCCATTGGGCTGCATGCTAACAGTAAAGAATTCATTAACTTCCTGGCAACCTGAAACTGTTCTCTATAAGATTTGGACTGACCCCATTATTGTGTGCTTGCCCTGAATTTTGAGTCTTTCTCAATAGAGCCAGGATATTTGATGATATGACTAGAGCTGTTCTACACATAGCTCTTCATCAAAGAATAAATGTTGAAAGCTAATTCTCCTATAGCAGAGATGATATTTCCTCTGCATATAAATGTCTTGGCACTTTAAAAAGTGAGGACAAGAGTTTTCTCACATGGTACACTTTACTTTGGGGATTCATAGTCTTCAAAATCATAGTTATTTATCCCATATGTATTTACTTTTAAAAAAAGCAAGTATGCAAAAACATTTAATTTAGACTTCAAACTTTTGAGAGATATTCATGTGGCACATGCTCAGATAAAATTCTGAGCAGAGGTTTGTGTGTGAAAAGGGAAAGGCACTTACAGGGGTCTCCAGTCTTGATAGCATCCAGTATCTGAACTTTCTACAGCACCCTATGTTAATCTAATAGTACATTCCATTAATAGCTCTTCTTAGTTTGAAATAGTAATTGACTCAATCAGGGTATCTTAAAAAAATGTGAAATAGTTTACAGTATAGAATAATATACTGGTGAACCAAGTTAAGAAAGCCAGCACCAGGTGGTTCTAGAGATGAAAGTTGCAGAAACTAATACATTTCCAAGGCTCTAATGCTGAGGGGGGTAAATGTCAATGGATTTAGATACAAATACCCAGGAGATAAATCATATACCTATCTGTGTATCAGGGAATTGTGGAGTACCTTGATTCATAACTCTATTAAGACTATATCCAATGGGTCAYTGTATTGTAGTATTTTTTTTCTCCATATAAATAAGTTATTCATAGGCTGGTAAAAAAAAATAAATGTTCATTGGAGGAAGAATTAGCATTTGATTGCTACAAGTATATACATACTTAAAATAATTTCTTATTTGTTTAATTTTTTAATTTGTTTAATTTTAAGGTTTAATTTTTTTGGAACGTATCCAATGAATTTAATTATCTTTCTGTAAAAGGTACATATTAATATGAAGTTTCTACCCAGCCAGGAAAGCCTTTAATATAATAACTTAAAAATATTATATATCCCTTCAGATACTTAAAATGTTACTATAATTATTGAGACGGTTTTGGCACTATGTTTATGCTTTGTTTAGTATTCAAATATGCAATTATTTTACACAGTCAATATGTTTTACCCAAAAAATATTTTCTTAAGATGTAAACTGAAAAAAAAAATCCACTAAATATTTTAATTTTAAAGGGTCACTCAATTYTGTTTATTTTTGAAAAGATCTGACTTCTGTATATCAATAATTTTATTATATTAATGTTTATTCATTAGGAGATRATTTTTTTAAAATTTCCAAAATTCATACATTTTGAGTATTATAATGTTTGTTGTAAACTTTTTCCAAATGAAAATATAATTAATTTAGATGGAAGCCAATATTTTCTGTTATGAAAGTGAACATAAATTAACTATATAGAAACAAAAGAAGAAAACAACACAATGAAAAACAAAGTATATAAATAAAAACCCTTCATTTCTTCTTYGAGGAACCCAGAAATTAGTTATTCTCACTATGATATTATTTATTTTCAAATTATATTATTCCTGATTAAGAATAAAATTTTAAAAGTAAAATAAGATGGTTTGTTCATGGACTCACTACCTTTGAAGCTCTTTTTATTATAATTGGAACTGAACCATTCTTATAGATCGAGAATAGGCTTTGACAAAGAACTTATATTTTGTTTCATGAAAAATCTCCCCAAACATCTATTAATCCTCCCTCCACATCTAGCATAGAACAATTTAGACAACACTTTGCTTGCCTTCCTATTTCAAATTAAAATTCAATTTTGATGAGATAACAATTGTCACATTTCTCATAATTTCACTTTTTTATCACAGTTTAAATTTGTCTATATCTCTTTGATTTTCTAGGGATCCTTACAATGCAATTGAAGCTATAGACCCAGAGAAACTGAATGTTTTTCGGACAGTCAGAGAGATAACAGGTACTTTGCAAAATGCAATTGCTGTATTATGAACTATGTGACTTTGGTGTTTTCTTAAAAACATTGCATAATATTAGCATAAGCAACTCATTTTCATCACAAATTCCAGTTTTTGAAATTCGTGTCATTTTTCAACAATGGGTGTTTTTACTTCTCAGCTTTTGTGCTTATTTCAAAAGTACATAGAATTACAAAAATAAATATCCTAGAAATTTTGTCATTATCTTTTGCAAGTGTCAAATGATCTATGATCTTTGAACCCATGGTTTTCTACATGGTTAGAACATGGGTTACATGTAGCATTCTTTTCTTTTCTTTCTTTCTTTCTTTCTTTATTTTGTTTCTTTATTTATTTATTTTGGTAATAGGGTTACACCAGGGGTTCTTAACCACTGAGCCGCATCACTAGATCTCACTAAATTGTTTAGGGCCTGGCTAAAATTGCTAAGGCTGGCCTTAAASTTGTATCTTCCTGCCTCAGTCTCTTAAGTCACTCTTATTGCAGGCGTGCCCAGCATATGTACCACTCWTATTTATTGAGTACCTAAAATATTTAATACTAGTATAATAGTGTTATACAGCTCATAAATATGAAGCAGACATGGACTTACACCAGAATTTAAAATGTGTTTTTTTGAGGAATCTTCATACTTCTTTCTAGAGTGGTTGTACTAAAAAACTAGCAATGGAACCACCATTTGACCCAGCTATTTCACCCCTCAGTATATATCCAAAGGATTTAAAATAAGCATACTACATTGATCCAGTCCCATCAATGTTTAGAGCAGCACAATTCACAATGGCTAAGCTGTAGAGCCAACCTATCAGCAGATGCATGGATAGAGAAAATGTATATATACACAATGGAGCATTGCCCAGCCATTAAGAAGAATGACTTTCTGACATTTGCCAGTAAGTGAATGGTTCTAGGTACTATCATGCTAAGTGAAATAAGCCAACCCCCCAAAAACAAAGGTGGAATGTTTTCACTGATACATGGAAGCTAACCTAAAATAATGAGAACAGAGGGAATAAAAGTTCAGTAGATTAGACGAAGGGGAATGAAGGGAAGGGGGGATAGGAAAAGGAAAGACAGTGGAATGAATCTGACATAATTTTCCTATATACATATATGAGTGAATACATCACAGTGAATATCACCATTGTGTACTTCCATAAGAATGGGGTCCTAATTAGAATAAGATATATTCCATGCTTGTATAATTATATCAAAATGATTCTTCTGTCACATGTAACTAAAAAGAACCAATAAAAATTAAAATGAATAAAAGAATTTAAAATTTAAGAAGACAGGTTAAATATATACATAAATGGCTTAGAATGCAAGGTGGATACTGATGTCACAAGTATAGAGGTAAAGTGATAAATGATTTCATAGAAGTAGAAACCATATTTTTTCTTTAGTTAAGTATATTTTTTTTCATTTAAAAGAATAAAACAAACTGAGTCATTTATGTCTTAGCATATACCGTTTTGTGATCCTATATGGATGAGATACATAGATTTTTKGGGGGTCATAGTTTTGATATCAATTGCTTATAATTTAGTCCAGTGTGTGGGATACTCATGGGTTAAGGTACTCAATGTTAGAAGAATAAATATGTTGTAGAATCTTTCATAAACAGAAATGGACAGTTATTTTATTACCTCCCATAAACTATCAATACATTTTCATCATATTTTAATAATCAACATGACTACTAAGACAATGATATCCTGGTTTATTTTTACCATCCTATCACTTRTAGGTTTCTTGAACATACAATCATGGCCCCCAAACATGACTGACTTCAGTGTTTTTTCCAACCTGGTGACCATTGGTGGAAGAGTACTGTATAGGTAGGTATATATATTTGGATTAACAATATATATTTGGATTAAGCTGAAAGTTGCCCAAATTTTAAGAGTAGTATTGTGTGTACATCAAGTCAAAACCATCAGGCTTATTGATTTACTGATTCTGGTAATATGATGATAAAAATAATAATAATAAAAATAATCCTAATGATGATATGAAGTATACAGAATGCATCATTAGATTTTCCAACTGACATCATCTAATGTAATATTAGTATTTTACAAATCTGTGATGCTTAATGTGGACTACAAAGTTAAACTTTCTTTTTGATTGTATATTATCTTATGATATAGTGAAGTTACTTGGTACTGTCTATTTTGTTGTACCAGAATGCTGTATTGTCTCTGGTGCTGTCTTTTAAACTATGCCTCATAGGGCTGGTGTTTTGGGATTTGTCCACYACTCTACATGCAGCTCTGGTTAATAAATGGAGAGTAAAATTAAAATAGGTGGACTTTGTTATACAATTTTATCTCATCTTTTAAATTCACATGATAAAACTAAACGACAATCTTTACTAAGCCACTACTTATTTTTTAGTTTATCTCAGATTTCATCTGCATGAAGTTTTTATTCATGAATTAATACAAGTTTATTTACATCAAGATATTGTTATTTAATTTGTCTGCTTAAATCTGTGAAATGACTAAAGTCAATAMTATAATGGATTATTTTATAATAATGTTTTATATATAGTACACTGCATTTTATTATTAAAAATCTACAATATCTGTGAAAAGTTTTTTAAAAATTAAAAGGGGAAAGGAGCTTAATGTAAAGGGGTAGTTGAGAGATGCAGTGTGCTCAAATGCATATACAAACAACTTTTACTATCCTTGAATAAAATATTATGAATCACTTAAGGCCTTGTGCTGATCTTGTAATAAAAACTCAAGGTGGGTATGAAGAAMACAAAAATTTTAAAGAGTGAATTATGATTCAGTTTTTATCATTTAACCCCATATGTTTCAATTATTAAAAACAATTCTAAATATTAACAGCAAGTTACATTTAAAATTGTTAGTGAAAAGGAAAATTTTATTGTCCAAAATGAAAAATAATGTTATAAGTTGAATGAAATATAGGAATTATTATTATTATTATTATTATTATTATTATTATTATTTGGTACTGRGGATTGAACCCAGGGGTGCTTAAGCGCTGAGCCACATAACTGGCCCTTTTTATTTTTTAGTTTAAGACATGTTCTCTTTAAYTTGCTTAGGGTCTTGCTAAGTTGCTGAGTCTGGCTTTGAACTCACAATCCTCCTTTCTTGGCCTCCTGAGCTACTGGGATTACAGGTGTAAGCCCTGGTGCCTGGCTAGGACTCATGCTTTTTAGAGAATAAAAGCAAAAATAATCATAAAACTGTAGACTATGTTGAAATAATAACAGTTTTTTGAAATGATAATTGCTGTATTTAGTTGTTCTTTAACTTTTAGTGAAGTTTTCCCCASCTGTTCAAGCCTTCTGAATATTTTTCAAAAATTTATTTTTGTTTTACTCTTTAATTTTTAATATGCCCTAACATTATTTATGCATTCTTTAATGATGATTGTTTTGGTTTATAAGAAATTAATAAACCCMAAATCTGTAGTCATTTTCTGCAATATCTACCCTCTGAAATATATTACATAGTTATAGTAGAATCAGCATCTCTTTGGGTAGATAAGCAAGCATTGTACAAATAATTATTTAGTCTTACTACATTATTTTATTGTTGAGGAGTATGAAATCTAGGTGGAGGAGGAAAGACAGTGATCAAATACTTAAGTAGTAAATATAAAGATAGAGAGATATTGTCAAGATTCATAATTTTAAGAAATGGACATATTCTTTTTGGGAAACAAATTATTAACATTAGAACTGGCAGTATATAGCATGTAAAGATGAAAATTTTATTCTGAGCACAGGCATATTGATCAGTCTCTGTGATCCATTGATATTCTTTTTGGAGTAAGAAGTGATATCCTTATTTTACTTCAAGAGAGCAATTCATGGCCAGAACATATTTATCCTTGCTCCATTCCCTTTCTCCTTCTTAGTGGCCTCTCCTTGCTGATCCTCAAGCAACAAGGCATTACCTCTCTACAGTTCCAGTCTCTGAAGGAGATTAGTGCAGGAAACATCTATATAACCGACAATAGCAACCTGTGTTATTATCACACCATCAACTGGACAACCCTCTTCAGCACCATCAACCAAAGAATAGTGATCCGGGATAACAGAAAAGCTGAGAACTGTAGTAAGTATTTGATCCAGACACTTAAAACACAGAAACTTTAAAACTTTCCATTCTACATTGGACCAAACACTCCAAAATAATAGCAGGCAGGTCTRAATCATTCCCCTCTTATACCAACTCTGATAAAGGAGGGTAGCTATAATTACCATCATGGCATAAAATAATCAGAGAAAGTGATAATTTGCTACATATTGCATGTTTGCAAATCCTGCCTATCTTAGGAATCTTCCTGTGGAGATTTTGATTTGGTAGGTTCAAGTGGAACTTAGGCATTGCATTATTTAATAAGCATCTAGATGACTCCTTGAATTCCTTCACTTTGTGGAAATCCATCTTATTAAATTCTGTGTTTGGTGTTTGGATGCAGTGAACTCGGAAAACAGAATAACACAGTTTTGTTATATGGGTGTGGGGGGAAAATGAAGATGTGTTCTTCTGTACTATGAAAAATATAGGGTYGGAGAGGAATTTTCCTTCTTCAAATGTATTTGTATAGGTATATCATTATTTCCCTTTTCATCTGTTTTAATACTACTGATCCTCTTTATCACTTTGTTGTTACAGCAAAGGAAATAATGTTTTCATGGGCATAGGACTATGCCATTCCTTATATGAGACATTGAGACTCCAGTGATTAATACATAACTCCTCTCTATTTTTCTACTGAGCACTATTCCTTTCTACATCCTGGGAGTGCCACTAGTATTCATAATGCCCTAGTATTCATGTATGACGTATTTATGGTAGATACCAATTATGAAGTTTCAGAAATCTAATGATTCATTTGCAAATGCATATTCTCTGGTGGGCATTAAATGTCCATTCATTTTAAAAGGTAGATTCCCAGAGAAAAGTTTTACTCTTAGGCTATTATGTTACTTCTTTTATCTCACTGTAAGAACAATCAACAGGGTATAAATTAATAATGTTCAAGTTTGTGTGTGTGTGTGTGTGTGTGTGGTGTGTATGTGTGTGAGTGTGTGTGTGTTTGTGTGTGTCTTATGTATGTGTAACAAATAGTAGAGGATTTTTGAAAAAAAATTAAACTCTTAAAGAGCCAACATGATTTAATTTTATGGAGTTAAGTAGCCTGTGAATTGATTAACTTATTAACACCCCATCTTGTACCACAAATGGTTTAAGGCATCTCAGACTAGCAATTTTCAAAGAATATAATTCATGAGTAACTTACATATTCTACGATCTTGATCTTGATCATGGTCTTTATCTTTAGCTGTTTATGTTTCTTAAGAGGATTTTCTGGAGAAAGGTGATCTATTGCAGMATGAAGTTCCTGCTTTAAGTGAACTTAAGTTTTTACATGTTCTTCTTTTCAACATAGAATCAAAAAATAGAAGTTCTACTTATATATCAAAATATGCAGTTYAATGTTAAATGAAATTCATCTTTTATTTGTTCTGGAATTTTTCCCATTTTTATACAATGGTGATTCCTGACACACAGTGTGCTTTACCCTTTTGCTAATACTTAAGMTTCTTGCCCCATACTTCTCTATGTATGAGTGCATACACACCCCAGACAAAGAGATGATTCATGATGCTAAAATAATCTTGAACACTGCTTTAKGAATATTTCCCTAGTAAGGATTATACAGTCTTTTTGCTTTATTTTTTTTTTTTAAAAAAAGAGTACCACTACTTTTCAAAGATAGGAAGGTAACTCTGAAGACAAAAAAAAAATCATCTTAAAGGTCCTTTTTGGTATAACCTACTTGCAAACCTTASAAATATTCACATTTTTAAATCTTTTTTATAATACACCAAAACAAAAGAAAATGGGAAGAAGAAAATACAATTATAAATTAACTGTAGAAAAGCAAAATGGGAAAAGGGAGTTTCTAAAAAATTATATAATATTGTTCCATACCTCTTTAAGACTTGTAAATTTTCCAAACAATCAAAAGAGTGAATAGTAATAATAGTCAGTATGGCTAACTAAATATCTTTCATGGTCTTGAGCTTTTGGTGTCATGCYTCTTGGACTCAGTTTAGCAAATTCTTCAGATCAGGAATCTAGTTTTAATTTCTGTATATTCAGATTTCACTTTGCAGTTTGGGGAAGAAATGAAGCAGTTAGGGGAAGCAGTTTTGTGGTGCTATAGTATAAAATCAAGCGTATCATTTTTCATTTTTAACATCTTAGAATAAATATATTTGGCATGAAATCCATTTATCAAAATTTGGACTTCTGTCTCACAGCACATTGGATCCATGAGAATTCCCCATGCCTATATTTTCAGAAACATATTTACCCTGTGAACATGACCTCAGAGATGATGCTCCTTATGTTTACAGTGAGCCTGTAAGTGGTTCCCACATATAAGAACCTTCTTATTATCCACAGTATTATGTGCAAATGGGAAGGCCTAAATATTTGCTTCCTTTTACATGCATTGTTAAATATTGCATTTTAGTTCATTTTTTCTTTGTATTTGTAAAAACACAAGTATACATGAGCATACACATATATTCACTACCACAGATAAGTGTACACACATGGACTACATTTCCATATATGCACATGTGACATACATAATCACATATAGAGTCCAWACATATGTATGCACAGACCCACATACGCCTGCACTCCACCCCATTCCCGACAAAATACTCCAATCTAAATTTGGGTGCTGTTTTTCTAACCTAAAAGGCACTCCTCATTTATAACAGTAGCATCTGAAATTCAACATGATTTAAGATGGTAATGACAATAAAAGCTTCACCTCTTTTACAAAGGGTGACAGTGGCTTCAATAAGCTTATTCTTTCAAGTCAAAAATTTCAAAGCAGGCTTTATGGCTTGAAGAGATTGAAATGGAGAGAAACCCAGGACATGAAAAGCTGGAACATTTTCTTTCTCCTTCACTTATGAGATTCTGGTACTAACAAAATGATGCTAGCTAAAAGAAGTTTTAGAGGAGGTTTATACAAGTATTTTGAAGTTTCTTTAAAGAGTTAAGCACAAAATTTTAAAACCAAAAAATAAACAGTGTAAAGATACATGTTATATCAACTTTTCAAAACCAGATTACATTTGAACCTATGAATATCATGCCTTAAACTTATTTGTAATGTAGAGTTAAACTCAATATAAATAAGAAAAAAATTAAATTCATTATTGACTTTTCAAAATAGAAGTATCTTTATTTTTTCCTTTGATAATATAGCACCTTCCTCATTGTTGGAAAACAAAACAATGAAAACATCTAAAAGGAATGCATTTATTTTGGTGCATAAGTATGTAACATACATAGCTATCAATAATGAAATGTATATTTTCATGTGAAAATGAGATCATACCATATACACTTAAATACTATTCAGTTATATATGTATGTTTTAATACATTATAAGCCTCTTCCATGTCAGTGCATAGAACTCTTCTTTATTCTTTTAAAAAGCAATGTATAAAAATATTTATTGAGTCACTGTCATATTAATATAACTTATTTCCATTTTTCATATTATTATTCCTGCTTTAATGTGTATCCTAGTTCATAAAACCTTATACAGTGTGCAATTCTTTCCTGAGGCTAAAATCTTAGCAGTGGAATTTCTGTGTAAATAAAGCTACATAAAGTTTTCTTATATATTGCTGTATCATCTTTCAAAACTATTGGATCAGTTCATAGTTGTCCCAAACACTATAGAATAGGAGTATTTTCTACCACTTTTTATAAAATTGGATGTTTATGGTTTTATATTTCAGTGAGCTTAAAAAGGAAAACAAGTTCTTTTAAATTTACATGTTTTAGGTTAAGACTGAGCCTCTTTTTATATGTTGATCAATCATTTACATTTTTCCTCTTATATTTTATACACTTTATCCATGAACTTTATCTATTATCAGTTTTGGAGTTTCCTGTTTCCTTCTCTATTTGAAAAGCTCTTCACAAATTGAACACATTAACATTTTGTTCCTTTTAACTGTTGTGAATAACTTTCTGTCTTACAGGTAATTTTTAACTTTTTTCTTTTGATACATATTTTTTGGTTTTTATCTTGATGTATTCTTATTTTTTCTTCTAGTACATTAAAAACTATATTGAAAATTTAATACATATGAAAATTTTGCTATGGCATATTTTTAAGAACTTCCTATTGATTATATTATTGAGCCAACAGAATTTATTGAAGAACATATCTAGTCTCACTGATTTTAGTTGTCTGCAATGTTTCTGCTAAATAAAGAGCCAGAAAAGATGTCAGATTCTAATTCTCAATCTATTCAGATCAATTAATTTAATTGTCATAACCACTCTGTAAATGATAATTACCTCTATTTTGCAAGTGAATATACAGAAGTCAAGAAAGTTTAATAATATTTTCAATGTGTAGAGCTATGAAAGAACATATCCAGGGATTGAACCCAATGTCCATCTGATTTCAAAGACTAAGCTCTTCATTTCACTATGATTTTTCTCTCAATAAAGAAAAAGCAATTGATTTTATAAGAAAATCTGCTGATTTACTATTATACCCTATATAATAAAATATTCAGCACCACACTTACCTTATCCCATTTTGGTGGTAAGACAATAAAAAACCTGAGGGTGGATATTTTATAAAGTGAAGAGGTTTATTTAATTCATAGTTTTGGAGTTTGAGAGGCCAAAATTGGGTGTTCCTGTATGGTCTCCCTCTGCCTAGAGCCTTCTGGCTATGTCACAACATGGCCAATGGCGTAACATGGTGAGAGCATGTTGGAGATGGTTTACATGGCCTGAGAGGAAGTGAGGGGCAAGGAGGGGCCAGGCTTGTTCTTTTGTAAAACCTACTCTTGAGGGAATTCATTTACTCATGGGAGATCCAAGGGGAGACCAGCATTAATGGCTTCATGAAGGCAGTCATGCCTCAATRCCTCCCAGTAGGCTCCACCTCTTAAAGGTCCCTACTCCTTTCTATACCAATGCATTGAGAGCTTAGCCTCCATGTGAGTTATAGTGAGATGAACCACACTCAAACCACAGCAACACTCTAC